GTCACATTTCACAAGTGATATATTGTCTCTACTTTTTACTGTATTCAGTTAGGTTTTGGTTTTGCTTTATCATCAATAGGGCAAGAATACCCTCCCCTTGTAATAATCTGTTTAAAAAAAAAAAAAAACTTTTTAACCACCCCTATATCTATATATCTATCTACACACACACAAAAAATATATATATATAAATTAGGTGGGGTTTGCCACTGATAAATTTATATAACATCGCCAACTTTTTAGGACACATCCATCTGGCCTCTATATTCATTCATTCATATGATCCACACTTTCTCTCTCTAAAACCACCCAAATTCATATATCTCTCTCTCTCTCTCTATCTCTTTCTCTCTCATCATGACTGATCCGTACTCCAATTACTTCAACAACAATGGCAATGGCAATGCCAGCTGTTTCTACCTCAACCCCTCTTCTTACTCCTCCTCCTCCACCACCACCACCACACCATTATCTCACCACCAGCACCACCCCTACAACTTCATCAACTTCTACTCCACTAATTTCAACTTCAACACCACCGCACACCACCAGTACTACTGTTACAATCACCACCAACCCCCGCCTTCACCGCCGCCTTCGCCGCCGCTGAGGGAGGCCCTCCCGCTCCTCAGCCTCAGCCCCTCCCATCACAACGGTCGTCAAGATCAACCACCGTCCTGCACTACTACCACCGCCATGGAAGAAGATCGAGAAGAAGAAGAAGAAGATGACGGAAGTTTATCAGTAACCCTAAATTTAGGGTTATCCACTACGCATTGCAGCTTTACTCACGACCCGGGCCAAACTCAGCTGGTAAATAATAATAATAATAAGGAAGAAGAAGAAGGAGAAGAAGAAGTTACGGTTGCGGCGAACAACGCAGTGTATTGTTCGACGACGACGAGCCCAATGAACAAAGGGCAGTATTGGATACCAACTCCGGCCCAGATTCTGATCGGCCCGACCCAGTTTTCTTGCCCGCTTTGCTTTAAGACCTTCAACAGATACAACAACATGCAGGTATAATTTATCATTCATGAATTTATGTGTTATTTTGTAAAACCTCTGCTTTTATTTTCTCCTTTATGTTTTTTCTTCTTTTCTTCTTTATTTGTTTTTGCCTTTTTAATCTTTTCTTGGATTAATTTTAACCGTTCACTTTGTTGGATTGATTGGATGAAATGATTATATGGGTCCTTAGGGTTTTTTTTCTTTTCATTAAAGCTTTTTTAATTCCATTCTTCTTACAAAAAAAAATTATTTTTTATTTTTTTCTCCTTTCACTATAGATGTTTTTGTATTTAATTAATAATAATAATAATAATGCATGAATATAGTTTTGGGGAGTGGGTTTTGGGGATCTGCATAAATCCACCTGGTCCATCTCTCAGAAAACCTGACCAGTCACACACTTTATTTGACTGAACATCACACAGCTATATATATATATATAATATATATATCCACACACACATATACATATAGATATGTGTATATGCCTTTTGTCCTTGAAGTTTGTAACTATAAACATAGGCATATGTGTGAAAACTGATACATTTTCCCCTGTTAGTTCTTCCTGGTAGCCAGATTATTACCATTTACCATCAAAGTAAATTCATTAATAAATAAGTAAATAAATGAAAGGTTTTTTTCTCAGTCTGCATTATTATATTCTGCAACACTCAACCTTAAAATTGCAGTCTTAATATCAACTTCTCGACTCTCTTCCTACTTTTATTGACCAATAAGAATTCATCTTATCAAAACCCCATATCCATAATTTAATTTGTGTTTCTTGCAATATATACAACATATACCTACAGATGCATATATGTGTTTCTTGATTAATGTTTGTTCCTAGATTTATTGACCAATATGAATTCATCTTGCAAAACCCTTGTACATAATCTGTGTTTCTTGAAATGTATATATCATATACATACAGATGCATGTGTTTCTTGATTAATGTTTCTTCCTAGTTTTATTGACCAATAAGAACTCATCTCGAAAAACCCATATACAAAATCTATGTTTCTTGAAAAACCCATGCACATATTTTAATATATATACATAACATACATACATATACATACAACAGATGCATATGTGGGGGCATGGATCACAGTACAGAAAAGGCCCGGAATCACTACGTGGCACGCAGCCAACAGCAATGCTGAGGCTTCCATGCTACTGCTGTGCACCAGGGTGTAGGAATAACATCGACCACCCGAGAGCGAAGCCACTAAAAGACTTCCGAACCCTACAAACACACTACAAACGAAAGCACGGCATAAAGCCGTTCTTGTGCAGGAAATGCGGCAAAGCATTCGCCGTGAGGGGCGATTGGCGAACGCACGAGAAGAACTGCGGCAAGCTTTGGTACTGCACTTGCGGTTCGGATTTCAAGCACAAGAGATCGCTCAAGGATCATATTAAGGCTTTCGGGAGCGGGCATTCGGCTTACGGGATAGATTGCTTCGACGACGAAGAAGAACCCGCGTCCGAGATTGAGCAGGATAATGAGTTTGATCACGTTAATCATCGATCATGTATGAATTGATGTTTTAATTAAAAGAGGAGAGCGATTTTTTTCCCCTAAGTTGTTGGTAAAGCTCTCCTTTTTTTATAATGAATTAGTAATTAAGTAGTAGTTGATTAATTTTCTAGGGTTGGTTGATTAATGTTTTGTAGTTAATGCTTATGAAATGGTACTTCGTTTCTCTTATATGTTCTTAGTTTTTGTTTATTCTGGTTTAATTGAATGATAATTAATTAGCTAGGGTTTGAATATTTTTTATTGCATGTGTATAGTTTTTTCTTCCTTATATTTTTTTAGATGGCCTTATTATAAATCATGACAGTTAATATGAATCTCAATTTTTTTTGATAAATAATTTTAATGAGGATTTAGGCATATACATGTTTTTTTCTATTATAAATTACTTTTATTTTTAGGGAAAGTTTGAAAATTTGTTTCAAAGAATCTAAGTATAAGAGTTTTCAATTATTCTGTAAACATTTTAAAAATAATGTTTTATAATAAATTTTAAATTTAATTGTATATTTTTATGCTATTTTAGTATTTTTCTTGTTTATTTAACTGAATTTTAATCTTGAAAATAACCTATATATATATATATATATATACACACACACATACATCACTACCTCCATACAATTTTATTTTAATTGATGATTCTATTTTGACAAGAAAACCCAAATTATCCTTTTTTTTAGCACTAATTATACTCATCTTGTAATTAGTTTCACATCTATATATTCTCTTTCTTTCTGGCTATGATGCACGGAAACTTCTATATACACACGTTTTCACGTTTCCTAAACCGAAACGCCATAACATCTGTGGGAAACGGTTTTGGGATCGTTTTTGTAACTATTTAAAAGTTCATATATATAAAAAAAAAACATTTTTGGTAAATATAAAAAAAAAATAGCACGGAAGGAGTATGTGATAATAATTTGACAATGATTTTTCAAAATATTGATTAAAGGAATTAAATAGAAATAGAAAATAAAAAAGAGAGTGAGCTGCGAAGTAAAAAAATCTCAAAACCCTAACTACTCTGAGATGAGAATTCGGAATAATAATAATAAATAATGAAGTAACAGGCTTTTTGTTGTGATGTGTAAACCATGCATGCATTATTCAATTCATATTCAGATACCTTTAATTTGGACTACTGAACAAAAACCGTTTAATTGATGGATGCAACTACTAATACATAAAGGTAATAAATGGATTCCAATTGTAATAATTATCATCATATCCAAATAATAATAGTACAGGAAATAAAAAAAAAAAATTATTAATATTATATTGTTATTTGAAGATCCAATTTAGAGAAATGTGAATGAGGGTAGAATATACACTACAAGAATAAATTGCATTAGAATGTAAAAGTTGTCACTTAATGCATACATTAAGTGACAATATTTTTTTTTTGTCGTTAATAGCCCTTTTTGTTGTCACTTAATCTTTATTTAATTTATTGTCATTATAGAGCATTAGCGACAACTCATTAGTGACAAACATAGCGACAACACTTTTTGCCAAACTATGTGAAAAATAGGTGGTGTCACTCAAAAGATTATTTTTTGGTAGTGATATTCAAGCCCCAAATATCTATAATTTATATATTTGACCCCCCTCGCGTGTTTTTATCCCTCTTTCGCCATTTTCTGTACATCACGCAAGTAAGTATCAATTGTGATATGCGTCCACTTGTAATCATAGCTTTGCGTATCTATCGCACACGTAAATCGTGGTAATTGTATCTCTCTTATTTATTGGTTGATTTCACACAGTCGGGCGAATTTTGTTAGACGATAAATTCCAGTAAGAGGAGAGCAAGGGTCGAGAGAATTACAGGACGTGGAAACCGAATTATGTTGTATTATCACAGAAAATACACAAACCGAATATATATATTGTAGAAAACTCGAATTTTATAGCAACCTACCTCTGGTCGATTTGTTGGATTTCACCATGTTTTTTTTTTCTGCTTCTCCGCGATCCGCACGAATGTGAACTTTTTTCGGATAAATATAGCAAACTAGAGTTGTACTTGGAGTCCAACAAAGGTCGTTGATAATGTGGCAGATTTTTTTGTGAAATCTTTGGAAGAAATTCTCCAGAATCGCGGTGGTTTAGAGAGAGATTTATTTCGTACGATTATTATACTTGTGTGATTAATCTCTAAGTATTCATTAAAAAAAATTAAAAAAATTGAATAAATATATTACAAATTAGATTAACTACATTGGAGAATTAGTGAAAGATAGATGGGAAAAAGAAAATGGGAAAAGCATTAGAATATTGTTTAGCCACGTTGGATGATCTTTGTGGGGAGAGAGAGAGAGAGAGAGAGAGAGAGAGAGAGAGAGAGGTCTGCAAACAGTTGTTATGAATTGTGACGAGAGAGAAAAAAAACAGAGAATAATTATTCAAAAAGGACTAATGTGATGTCTTGTCAAATTATACTACTCATGAATAGTAAAACATTGCCAGGATCGTATGTACCACACTTGATTCAATGATTCTGCAATTTCCACAACCTCTTCCCCCTCTTTATTAAATATTCATCCAACTATCTCTCTCTCTCTCTCTCTCACACACACACACACACACACACACACACACACACACACGCACTTTATATGCATAAAAATAATATTGTTATTATCAATTTACACTAAAAACACATAGTATAAAGGATAAATAGCACTTATTCATTAAAACAAAAAAAGGATAAATAGCACTTTAACCCATCTCTGGTTTGAGTTATGTGAACATATAAACAAATCCCTTATCCTATACTTTATTAAATAAGCACATAACCCCTTTATATGAAGTTATGATATTCTAATTGGTAAATAATCATGTCATTAAGATTCTTTTTTTTTTTTAAGTACAAAAGGTTATGTGCTTATAAGTTATATTAAATTACAAGGAGTTCATTTGCTATATCAAAAGTACAAGAGGGTCATGTGCACAAAGTTTAAACTAAAGGGCAGGTAAGTGCTATTGACCCTAATTTAAATTATAAAATACTATTTTGTAAAAGAAAATCTAAATTGTAAACTAACGAAAAATTTAATGAAACCGGCACGGTCAATTAACTAGGTCAACTGGACTGGAGTTCTTAAACCGTAACGGGTCTTTAGTTTGACGGTTCCGTTATTTTGTAACGGCGGGCCAATTTTTTTAAAGTTTGGATTCTTGGTACACGTACCCAATGGGCTGTAGTTCGACCCGACCCATTAGGTAAAAACATTTACTTTTTAATTACTCTTTTTTTGGCCTTATATTTCCCAGCTGAAATTGTAATACAAATACATAGTTGATAACAGATTAACAGTAAAAAAATGTAGGGACCAACCAGAAAAGCAATGTGTAAATGTTAAATGTTTTTACAAGCTGATTTCTGCTGGCAAACTGATCTCAAGAAAATATAAGCTGCAAAAAAAAAAAAAAAACAGAGAGAGAGACACATATTTTAGTTCAGGAAAATCAGAAGCTAATAACTAATTAACAGGTCATAATAGATCAATCCTTGGATTCTCCGGCATTCAGCAAAAAAAAAAAAAAAAAAAAAAAAAACACGGAATTTTTAAATAGAACTGCAGCTCGAGAAAAAACTGACTGCTTTGAGAATATTGGCAAGAGAAGAATTATACCTGGCAGACATGAAAGCCATGCCGAAGAATACAGCCTTTACAGCTTGCTTTTGTCCCGCATAATCGAATGCCAGAGGTAGCATTTCATGCAATGTTAGAAAAGCCATTACTCCACCAACTGTCGAATTAGGGAAAAATGCATTATTAGAAAGAAAAAAAATGTTAAATATCAGATAGTTTTCTCTCGTTCTCGATTAACTAATAAGCCAGCTGGAGGAAAAAATAAAAAGAAAAAAGAAAAACCTGCTCCTAAAAGCCCCTCGAGAATTTCAGGATTTAAGCTGCTGGGGAATAGGTAAGCTGCAAAAATTATTGATAGCAAGAAATAAATGTCGCGAAAATATTTGATATTGACGGTTTTATATTTATAATTTAAAATTTAGTGGTCAGACCTACGATAATTACGCCAAGGGGCTCAGCAAAACCAGAAAGGGTGGCCAGCTTGAATGCCTGCCATTTGCTGAGACAAAATGCAATTACACAACACGTCATAAATGCAAATTATTACTCGATAAAAGAATGTTTAAGTCGTTCTTTTTGTCTGTGACAGATAAAAGAATGTAGGCTTGTTTGTTCTACAAACTTTTTCGTGTTCAACTATGTATAAGTCCAAAGAGGATGGAGCCTCAATTGCCGACGCATAATTAATTAATTAATTATGGTAGATCGATCGCACGAAGATCATACCAATTTTGAATTGCTAATATATATTGGCCTCAACATGTCTAAAATGGAGTTAAAAATAAAATTGATATTAGAAGCATTTGCTAAAATGGTAACGTTGAGAATTTGTACCTTTGTGTGGCAAAATAAACAGGAAGTGCAACAGCAACACCCTGCGAACCAACCAAAACTTGAGATCTCAGTTGATAAACGTGAAATAAAGGTATTAGCTTATATGTCATGGATATCATAATCTTAATGACATCTCTTAATACTGAATCTTTAGGTTGCATTTGGATAGAACGATTTGGATTTGAAGAGATGGTTTAGGGAAACATTTCAAGGGACTCCATACAGAGTTGATTTAAGGGCCGAAAACCCTAAAATCTTTAGCCAAACTAATCGTTACTCGATGGGAGATTGATTATTAAAAACTCGTTTTGAGCTCGGTTTGATAACATAACGAACCAATCTTGAAAATTATGTTTTTTGTTCGATAAGCTATCAGGCTTGGCTCAAACCCGAGCTTGATTATAAGAAATAAAGAAGTTACGTACCTCAGGGATGTTATGCAAAGCGATAGCTAGTGCCAAGTTCAGACCAACACGAAGACCCTGAGAGATATGAAAAGAGAATGAGAGATGTGAATAACAAAATAATTTACGTCGTTTCCAAAGCAATAATTACATTTGAACTACCTTCATCGATCCAAGGAACACTGCCATTCCCTCTGGAAAATTGTGCAAACTTATACCTGAAAAAGGGAAAAAAAAGATGTAAGAATTTCAATCTCGGAGATATATGAATGAATAAATAAACAGCAGAGAGAATATGAATCACCATGCTAGTAGCTAGTAAAATGTAACTAGTATCTCCATACTGTATTTCAGTACTAATCCGATGGAAAGAGAAAGCAGAAACACACACATATATATACGTGTGTGCGCTCGTGTGTGTGTGTGTGTGTGTGTGTGTGTGTGTGTGTGTGTGTGTGTGTGTGTGTGTGTGTGTGTGTGTGTGTGTGTGTGTGTGAATAGCAGCAACCAACAAGTAACAAAATCACATAGCGATGATCATTTTGCCAAGATCATCATCCACATAAAATCTTAGCAAAAAACATTTATACAAAATATTGCAACTATATTTAGATTATTAAAGACATTGAGGAAGCTGAAAAATAAAATAGAAAAATAAAAATAAAAAAATAAAGAGGCTGACCTACAGCAGTGATGATTCCACTGAACAATACTTGACGACGATGCTTTTTCATGATATCCTTTCCCCCTTCATCCCCGTTTTTCTGCCATAAAACATGTTTTATTAATAATACATCCTAGACAATATTGCAACATCCAACAGCTAGCTTATATATTCGATTACCTTGTCTTTCTTCCCATCGGAAACGGGTGCAAGCGTTGGCTCAGGAATAAAATTAGCAATAATTGCAAAGAAAATTACGCCTGCAAAGAACTAAGAGGCAGATAAAATCAAAATTAAAATTAAAATTACACACATTTTGAAAAAAATGGAGAACTTATTCAGCGGTAATTACAAGGACATACCCAGAGATTCCCCTTCAAGAAGCCGATGGAATTTATGGCATTATGAGCCAAGTCAAAGAACGATATGCTCAACATAAGCCCTGCAGCAAAACCCTTTGCAAACAACACCACCCAAAATCAACACCAACGAACTCGAAAACTATTCACCACCGAAAAAATAAAGTAGTCGAAGTTACGCTACCGAAAAGACAGTCAATCAAAATCTCGAATCTATATTTCGATATACAATGTTTCGATTACCTGTAAAAGCCCAAGCATCTTCAGGTCTGGAGCCTTGTTCATGACAACAAAAAGTGCCCCTGTTTGCAAAAACACAGCGCAATCACACACTTGAATTGAGAAATCATTCAAATCAAGTCATTTAGGATTTAAAATAAATAGGAGCAGTAAACAAAATCCAGGCAACAATCTCCAGAAACAAATTATAATTACACAACAAATACAACTAAGAATCGAAATCAAATTACAGCACAATAAAAGCTCAAATATAAACTCACCAACAGAGGTGCTCAAGCCGCCCACGAGTGAAAGTGCAAGCGCAACTAAAACCTGAGAATCCATTAAACCCATCTGATTAACAAAAAACGAAAAACCCTAGCAAATTGGATTCCGCAAAATCCTGGGAATAAAAGTCGGAAATAATTTTGTCGAAATCCCCTTGCTATGAACTGATAACTTGAAGGATTGACTAACAACAATGGAGATTCATTTTTATATTGTCAAAGGAAGAATCTGTTAATGTGAAACGAATATGTTTTTTAAGAAGTAGTGATTTGGGGTTTGCCATAAATTGCATCAGCATTTTTCGTGCTGCATTTTTGAAGTATTATCTGATTATGTAAACAGTTTGATGCTGCTGCTTATCATCTGCAAATTCTCCGAATTTGGGCAATAGTGAACGGGCTTTTTGAACCACGAGAAAATCTGCATTGATCTTAAGGCCCAAACTGAATTAATTGGGCATTTGCTTTAATTCAGAGAACAAAAATCTAGTACAATATGGAAATTGGCCACGTGGCATTTTCTTTTTCTTTAAAAAAAAAATTCAAATCCTATTAAAAATTGAGAAAAAATCCTGTTAAAAATTGAGAAAATAGAGAAGGGGGCAGAATTCGAACCCTAGACCTCTACTACAATAGTAGATGGTAGGTAGACCTGACCACGGTTCCTGTTTCGAACCAAAACAGGCTCGGCACCTCATCTAATTCAGGCTTTGAATTGGCGTCCTTATCTTCAACACAAACATATACATTGAAATTCTCATATGTCGACACGTAAGGGCCGAAAGTTGAGTTTTTTTAGTAAATTTGCATCTTCCAATTTTCGACACCGAAGTGCTGAATTATTGGGTACTTTCGACATTGCGATGTTGAAAATGCCCAATAAATCGACACTGACTGTCGATGTTGAAGTAAGAAAGAATTGATATTTGAAACAGCGCCTCATAAAATAAACTCATATAATTGAGTGACCAATTTCATTATATTATTATATATGTGGGGGTAAATATAAAAAATATACATGTCAAAAACATGGAGTCAACGCTTATGTCAAAATAGTCCAAAACAAGCTTAGGCACAATGCCAAACTTAAGCCAATAAACAAGAGAAAATTAGAGCATAAAGCAGGAGGAAGGTCAAACTTAGTACCATCTCGTTTTTGACCTAGCTTATCTAATCTAATTATATATTAACAATTATTATTATTTGCCCAATTCAACTGATCTATTAAGTCATATATTGCCAAACTTGACACAAATTTGTTTTGAATTCCATCCCAAAAACTTCGTTAAAATGCCACTTTCTATGTATATATTCATTTCAATCCCACTAACTAAGATATTTAATATATTTTTTACCGTATATATATACAGACAGATCCCATGATATTAGCTCATCAATTCTTCACACACAAATCAAGAGAGAGAGAGAGAGAGAGATGGCAGCTGTGGCAGCAGAAAACCAGGATTCAATGGCTAAAATGCCATCAGTTTTCATGGCAGGAAAAATAGGAGGAGAAGTGAAAACCATCAAAGTGAAGAAATCAGATGCTAATGGCGCAGAGCTGCTTATTGTGACCCCTAAAGCACAAGGCAGTTACCCTGTGCTTCTCTTCTGCCATGGTTACTCCACTCAAACCACTTGGTACTCCCACCTTCTACAGCACATCTCTTCCCATGGATATATCGTCGTCGCCCCACAGGTTTCATCATTTGCTCTCTCTCTCTCTCTCTCTCTCTCTCTCTCTCTCTCTCTCTCTCTCTCTCTCATGTTATTATTACCTCCATGCATGCAGTTCTACCACTGCCTCCTCATATCCCTCACCGACGAAATCAAGATCGCCGCCAAAGTCACAAACTGGCTACCGTCGGGCCTACAAGATTCCCTCCCCGACAATATCAAACCAGATCTCTCCAAGCTCGCTATCATGGGCCACAGCAGAGGTGGCAAGATAGCATTCGCCCTCGCATTAGGCCACGCGCCAACCTCACTCAAATTCAAGGCCCTTTTCGGGCTGGATCCAGTCTCGGGCCCCACACCGCCCACTTGGGTCGAACCCAACATCCTCTCTTACGTGCCGCACTCTTTCAAACTCTCGATCCCAATTGGGGTCATCGGCACCGGATTGAGCAACCGAACTAATAATTACGTTTTCCCGCCGCTCGCCCCTAACGGGTTCAATCACTCGGAATTCTTCAACGAGAGCAGGCCCCCCTGTTGCTATTTTCTTGCCAAGGATTACGGGCACTGTGATTTTCTAAACGACTCGAAAACGGGGTTGGCGGGTTTGGTGTGCAGGAGTGGGAAGGGGAGTAAAGAGAAGATGAGGAGAGGTGTTGGAGGGATTGTGGTAGCATTTCTCAATGCTTATTTGGGTGGTGGATTTGAAGATCTTGAAAATATTGTGGCTGCACCAGATATTGCTCCTATAACTCTTGATCCTGTTATTCATATCAAGGAATAAATAGAATAATTGATAGCATCGTTTGGTTTTTTTTTTTTTTTCTTTTTTTTCTTTTTTTTTTATAATTTGTTATTATTAAAGGGATTATTTAGTTTGGAATTTGTTCTTTTTTTATAAGATTTAAGAATTAAGACCATCAATGAATTAATCACATTAATTCTGCTCGAGTATAAATATACTACTTCAAGATAAATTACCTTTACATATATAAATATAAATATATATGCTTCAATAACTACCAACTGTTGTATTTTCAACCTCCTACGACATAACCAAAACATTAATAACGGCCATACATTTAATTTTATTTCCGGTTGTTTCGAAATTAAACTTACTCATTAAGGTTCGATGAATCTTCCAATACAACTGGAGCTTCATTTGATTCAGGCTTCGAATCCACATCCATAGCCTCGATAGTGTCCACTGCACTTGGAGCCTCATTCGATTCAGGCTTTGAATCAACGTCCTTATCTTCAATACTCTCCGATACAATTGGAGCCTCATTCGATTCAGGCTTTAAATCAACGTCCTTATCTTCAATACTCTCCGATACAATTGGAGCCTCATTCGATTCAGGCTTTGAATCATCATCCATAACCTCGATAGTTTCCATTACACTTGGAGCTTCATCCGATTTAAGTTTTGAATCAACGTCCTTTTCTTCAATATTTTCCAATAAAGTTGGACCCTCATCCGATTCAGGCTTTGAACAAGCGTCCTTATCTTCAATACTTTCCGATACAGTTGAAGCCTCATCTGATTCGGGCTTTGAATCAACATCCATAACCTCGATAGTTTCCACTACACTTGGAGCCTCATCCGATTTAGGTTTTGAATTAACGTCGTGTTCTTCAATATTTTCCAATAAAGTTGGAGCCTCTTTTGAATCAGGCTTTGAATCAACATCCATAGCCTCGATAGTTTCCACTACACTTGGAGCCTCATCTGATTCGGGCTTCGAATCGACGTCCTTATTCTCGACACTTTCCAATACAGTTGGAGCCTCTTTTGGTTCAGGCTTCGAATCAACATCCGTGTCCATGATATCATCACCGCACTCTAGCTCTCCAGGAATTTCCTCTTCATTCATATGGGACCCACTCTGACTAAGTCCAATTTCAGTAGTAATCGGAACCTCAAGGGGTGCAGCAGCATGTTCATCGATGAGTAGTTCTGGAGATTCATTGCCAGGTGTATCACCGAGTGCCTCAGAGATGGTATTCGCTGCTCCCTCGGACAAATTATCTGATGCCAGGGTGACATTTTCCTTGGAGTCTTGATCTGCCGGTAACTGAACAACATTGTCCCCAACTACCGCAAGGGGTGCAGCAGCATGTTCATTGATGAGTAGTTCTGCAGATTCATAGCCAGGTGCCTCATCGAGAGCCTCAGAGACGGTATTCGCTGCTCCCTCAGACAAATTATCTGCAGATTCATTGCTACGTGCATTTTCCTTGGAGTCTTGATCTGCAGGTGACTGAACAGGTTCATTGGCAGATGTGTCCCCAACTACGTCAAAGGGTGCAGCAGCATGTTCATCGATGAGTAGTTCTGCAGATTCATTGCTAGGTGTCTCACCGAGTGCCTCAGAGATGATATTCACTGCTCCCTCAGACAAATTATCTGATGCCAGGGTGACGTTTTCCTTGGAGTCTTGATCTGCAGGTAACTGAACAGGTTCATTGGCAGATGTGTCCCCAACTACTTCAGAAGTGTGGTCCAGTGTTCCATCAGAGAACTTAGTTGGTGCAGAGAAGTCCACGGTAGTAGGATTTGGAATTTCGGTAGTCGAAATGGAAACCTCGTTCGGGCAATCTTGCTTTGCTTGTTCAGGAGTGGGTAGTTCCATAGATTCATTTCCCGATGTGTCCTCAGAAATGGTATTCCCAGCTCCATCAGACAGATTATCTGATTCCACAGAATCTTCCACAGTTGCCGAATTGGACATCTCAACAGGTGCATCAGACAAATCACTTGGTGCCAAGGAATCTATGAGACCAGGATATGCAACTTCCATAGTTGAAGTGGAAACCGAGGCATCTTCCGTTGCCTGTTCATCAACAGGTAGTTCTGCGGAATCATTCTCTAATGCGTTTTCAAGCACCCCAGAAATGGTATTCGCTGCTCCATCAGACAAATTATTGAATGGTGCCTCTTCAGGGGTAGGGCATGCAAGTTCAGGGACAGAAATCGAGACCTCGGGAGCGGCACTTTCCTCTGCATCTTCATTATCAGGTGATCTGCCAGATTCATTGTCAAATGTGTCCCCATGTACCTCCGAATTGGTATTTACTGCTCCATCGGACAGATTATCTGGTACAATGGCTTCTTCTGCAGTAGGACATGCAACCTCAGTAATTGAAATGGAAACTTCAACAGGGGCATCCATGTGATCATTGCCTTCTTCTTCATTTGGATCTTGTTCCTGAGGAATATCCAACTTGTCCACACTAATGTCTGTATCGGTAGCAGGGGCGTCACTCGTATCTTCAGGAAAAAAAAATTCATTAGTTAATAGAAGAATGTGGGGCAACTCAGCAGTAGGTGACAGGAAAAATGCCTAGTTTATGATCAACCAGGAAACTGCACAGAAATCTGACAAGCATTTTTAAGAAATGAAGTATAGTTGATGGTGCAACGATTGTAGGATATCTTATTTGAAAATAGAACTCAATATAAAACATTTCTTCTCATCTAGCTCCTGGCTAATAAAGGATTAAAATGGAATTTCAATAAATTTAAATGGATGAGGTGACGTTTTTAAAGAAACTTTACATGCTTATTATGATAGCTAATTTTCTTTCCAACCCATAATAAATCCAGAAATAATTTGAAATGACCAACTATAAAATACGGTCAAATCGGGAGGCATATTAAGTTCAGATTCAGGGTTGTAAATATCTAAATGCAAGTGATCCAGAATGTAGGCTCCAATGTACGCGAACAGAATAATTGTTATTCAAGGAATCAAAGCTGGTTCAATCAAGTAGAACTGTACCTAGTATAAGAGATCTACTTTCATATGTATATAGGAAATAACTCTACTGACAAATTTCAATCATAGTTACCAGTTACCCCACGTAAAGTAAACTTCCCTCAACTATCACTTTCCCCCTTCTTACAATATATATTTATATATTTTTATTAGACTAATATCTAAGCCTACTCTTTTGCATATAGATAAATTGAAAAATCCCCCCAATTGTTTGAAGTTGTTTAATCAATTACTTTATCCAGTCAAGAGAGAAGTCAGCCTACCCTTAGGGACTTGCTCCACAGAAGGATATATAGTATCTTGTGTGGTATACTGAGGACTTGTAGCAGTCACTTCCGGATGATCAACAATGGCTGCAGCCACTGATACGGCTCCTAGTTGTGGCCCCACAACATCAGTTACTCCCTCTGATAAATTACTTGATGCTGGAATATTATCCTTATAAGAGCTTTCGGCAGAGACAATAATTTTTTCATCTTCCTCGCTACAGAGGGACTCAAACTTGCCACTCTCATCAGCAAGCGGCCTTGATTCAAATGTTGCCGCAGCCTCCTCTGGATGATCAACAATGGCTGCAGCCACTGATATAGCTCCTAGTTGTGGCCCCACAACATCAGTTACTCCCTCTGATAAATTACTTGATGCTGGACATTTATCCATATAAGAGCTTTCAGCAGAGATAATATTTTTTTCATCTTCCTCACGACAGGGAGATTCAAACTTGCCACTCCCATCATCAAGCGGCCTTGATCCAAATGTTGTCGCAGCCTCATCGGTAGCACTATTTAAACCTTGATCTATTTCCATCTCAACTGAGTTGCTGTCCCGTACTAGTGACGGTGAACCTTCAGATGTTCCGTGATCCTTGTCATTTCCAGATACCTCAACAACTGAAACAAAAGAAGTATCATCACAAACAACCTCATCATGCGGTTCGTTATTATCATTAGATTCTCCACTTTGTCCAGCCGAATGAGAACTGGAAGCCAAACAATTCAATGCTGGGTCCAAGGTTGAAAGAGATGGCAAATTATCAGCCAACTTCGAATTTGATGCAAGGACTTCATCAGCGTTATCCTTGTCTTCTTTTCCATTTGTATCTTGTTCCTGAAGAGGCTCCTCTAACTTCTCCACATCAATGTCTTTATCTATAGCAGCGCCAGCATCTATATGTTTGATATGACAATTTATACATCAGTTCATAGAAAAATAATTTTTTTTATAGGTGACGTTAAAGATGCCTAGTCTTTTATCCACCAGAATAATGCACATGCATTGCAATTTGCAAATGGATTAGCATATTTTGAGAAGTTGTATATGTTGTTCATTTTACAACAATTACAGAATATGACTATCTCGAAACAGACAACTCAGTAGCTTACATCTAAAACAATTATATGTTTACATGTTATGATAGATCTATAGAACTTCAAAATGAAAATAAAATGTTTATGTCTACTAACAATATCACATTTGAATCTCTTCCATCACTCCACAGTAGATTTCTATCGATAAGAGAACATTTTCACAAAAAGTCAGAGAATGATAGTTTTTCTATCCAATTTACACTAAATAATTGCAAGATAATTTTGGAATCTGTGAGCTATGAAAGATCGTCAAAATAGAGAGTACACTAGATTCAGGGTTGTTAAACATGAAATGTGAGCAGTCCATGACTTAACTCGGCTGTAGGACGAACATTGAGTATTTGGGATTTCCTTTAATTTGGATATATAAAAACCCTAGTGTAAAAGTGTAACCATACACCTTTCCATGTAAAGTGAAATCCCCATTCTCCCACCTTCCATTTCCCTTCCCCCTAGTCTTTGGCTTGTTACGTATACATTGGATTGGAAGTTTTCTAATTCTACTCAGTCGTATGCAAATCAACAAATAAACTACCCCAATTTGTTGAAGCTAGTTATGGTATGATTCAATTGTTTCTTTGTATACAGGCAAACAGCAGTTAAAAAGTTCAAAAGATATAGTGATATCATCTGCACCTAAACATTTTAAAACAATTATATAGTCCGAGAAAGGTGAAGCCTACCATTAGGGACTTGCTCTGCAGTATCTTCAGGATTAGCTTGAGGACTTGAAGCTGGTACAGTTCCAGTATCTAGCTGATCAACACTTGCTAAATCCCCTGAACCAGAAACCATTGAAGAGCCAAGTATGGCTCCAAGCTGTGACCCAAAACCATCAGTTGCTGATAAATTATCCAATGCAGGAATTTCATCCACATCAGGGCTTTTGGCAGAGTCAAAAGTTTTGTTATCTTCCTTGCGACAGAGAGACTCAGAGTTGTCACTCAGAGGCATTGATCCCAATGTTGCTGGAGCCTCATTAGTAGCACTAATTAAACCTTGGTCTCTTTCCATCTCAACGGAACTACTGTCGAGTACTAGTGAAGATTGGGGATCTTCAGAAATTCCTTGATTATAATCACTTCCAGATACCACAGGACCTGAACCAAAAGAACTATCCCCACAAGTGTCTTTACTTTCAGGTTCTTTATTTTCAGGTTCTTTTTCTCCAGTTTCTTCTGTGCACTGATTTCCAGACTTGGAAACAAGAGTACCCGATGCTCTAACTGCTGAATCCAAGTACAATGCTGGGAAATTGTCAGCTAAGTTAGGTTTTGATGCAAGGTCTTCATCCGTGTGATCCTTGCCTTCTTTTTCATTTGCATCTTGTTCCTGAGGAGTATGTGCTAACTTGTCGCCAATTTCTGAATCCATAGCAGAGCCTGCAGCCACATGTCCGATATCAAAACTTTATCCATCAGTTAAAAGAAGAAAGTAAACAATTTAAGTAAAGGCGACAAGACTGATGCCTAGTTTGTAATCCACCAGAAAATACACAGGAATTGCATATAGACAAGCATATTTAAGAAGTCAAGATATGATTCGCTTTTCTGTTTGCAAGTCAAGATATGATTCGCTTTTTTTTTAATAGAGGTCAAATCCAAAAATATACAGATTTTCATAATATGTGAAACTTACCCTTAGGAACTTGCTCGGCAGGACGATCTGCAATATCTTGAACGATGGATGGAGGGGCTTCACCCAAATCTGGCTGGTTAAAACTTGCCTCAGCCGACGGAACAGTGGATCCTTGTTTTAACCCCACAACATCAGTTGCTCCTTTTGGTAAATTATCTGATGTAGGAAATTCATCGGTATTAGGACTTTTGGCAGAGACAATAATATTGCCATCTTCCTTGCTACAGAGAGACTCAGACATTCCGCTTTCCTCAACACTGGCACTATGTAAACCGTGGTCTTTCTCAAACTGAGCGGATTCACTGTTGATTACTAGTAAGGATTGAGAATCTTCACATTTTCCATGAATACTATCATTGACGGATAACACAGGGACTGAAATTAAAGAACTATCCCCACAACAGTCCTTACTATCAGGTTCTTTCTTATCAATAGATTCTCCAGTTTCTCCTGCAGACTGATGCTCAGATTTGGAAAACGGAGAACTCAATGCTCTAACTGCTGGATCTGGGGTCAAAGTTGATGGCAAATCAGCAGAATTAGATTTTGATGAAAGGACTTCATTGGCGTTATCCTTGCCTTCCTTTTCATTTGTATCTTGTTTAGTAGGAGGATCCTCGAACTTGCCCAGATCAATGCCTATATCTGTAGCAGTGCCTGCAGACATATGTTTCAATTAAAAACTGTATCCATAACCGAAAAATGTTGGCAATTTAACAATAGGTAAAAGGAAAGATGCCTAGTTTATTTTCCACCAGAAAAGAGTTTACAGCCATAGAAAAGAGTGTACAGCCATTGACATTGAGAATAGACGAGTATATATGATTTGTACATTGTTGATTATGCAACAGTTAGAATACTATTGGAGATATTAATATTAAATGATACATTTCACAAACAACTTAAGCTTTTGGTTGAGGTGGTCATTCAACATGGTATCAGAGCCAGGTGAAAAGGTCCTGAGTTCGAATCCCACCACCACCCATTTCAAATATTTCAAGTGCAACGCTTCAAATGTAATTTGCATGCACTTGAGGGGGCGTACATGGAGATATTACTTTTAAATGATACATTTCACTAACAGCTTAAACTTTTGGTTGAGGTGGTCATTCAACAAATACTTTTACAAAGAACACTCAAAGAACTACATGTTTAGAAGAAAATAATTTGCTTACATATTCAGAAGATTTTAGGAAATTTGTAACTTGAGCCTTAATTTCATAATACGAAAAAAGGTAAGAATCTTGAGATCTACTTCCATTAGAATATATCAAACAACACCAGGGGTCCTACCCATACTTCCCCCTTGGGAACTAAACCCACCCCCGCCCAAAAAACAACCAACCCTCAGTATTAGAGTAAAGGTCTAGGGTTCATATCTTGCCCCTCCCCTACTTCCCCAATTTGTAACAGGACTTGAATTGTCTTACAAAACACTCTTTTCCACTTACCCAAATGTTCAAACTTGTCGATGTAAATATTGTAGTGACAAATTCATGTCTACTTTGTTAAACATTTTCTACAAGTTGTTTGAAGCTAGTGGTATATGATTAACCTAATTCTAATAAATTGATGTAAAAAAATCCAAAAGTATGGGGATTAGGGATGTTATGTTATGCATCTAAAAATTTCGAAACAATCAATCATGCAACAAAGAGTGAGGCCTACCTTTAGGAACTTGCTTCGCAGAAGGATCTGCAATATCTTGATTAGGTTCCCCTTGTATGGTGTCCCTGCGCCCAATAGAAGCCCGAGTTCTTTTATGTGGAGGTTCAATCGATGCTGAATCATGGCCAGTTAGTGCACCAGGAACACCTGATACTACAGGCTCCTGCCTCCTTCGCCTCCGTTGGGGTGTCTCTTCTTGACTTTGAACATTATCCACTCGCCCCCGTCCTCTCCCTCTCCCTCTCCCTCGACCTTTACCTGGCACTGTTATAGAGGGGGGAGGAAGAATAGACTGTGCAGCCTGAATACCAGAAAGTAAGGGAGGGGTAGTTTGGGGACTTGAAGCAGGCAAAGTAATAGGATCTAGTAGATTAACACTTGCCACAGCCACCGGGCCAGTAATAGCATGACTAGAATTCATTGAAGATCCAGCTACAGCTGCTTGTTGTAAGCCCAAATCAACATTGGTTTGGCCAGAAACCGGTGGTAAAACAGCAATAGGTGATAATGAATTTGATTCATTGCAAACTTCTTTTCCAGAAACTGATGGTAGCACAGCAGCAGGTGATAATGAATTTGATTCATTGCAAACTTCTTTCACAATGGTACCGACAGAAGCAGATCCAGTACTCATGGCAATAACGGAGCTCGACACAGTTTCTCTTTGTATTTCTGGTGGTTGGTCAGTTACCGGTGGAGAGGCAGTTATTTGAATGGTTTGTTCCACTGCGTTCTGTCTTTTACCTCTTCGTCTGGGAACAGGAGCTTCTCCGGCTGTTCGAGGCTTTCGACCCCGCCCTCTACCTCGCCCATATGAAGAGGGGGAAGCAGCACTTTGAGAAGCATGACTGACAGAAGTAGTTGGCAAAGAGTTGGGAGTAATAGGAAGCCCCAACCCTTGCATGCTGCCAGTGATACTTCTGACATGTATATTACTGACATTTGTATTACTGGCCAACGAATCAGGAACAGGTCCCACAGGTGTAGTTTCAACCTTTGCGCACTCTTCTGCTTTTCCAGATCCCAAAGGCACAGGTGTAGTTTCACCCTTGGAGCATTCTTCTGCATTTCCAGATCCCAAAGGCACAGGTACAGTTTCATCCTTGGAGCACTCTTCTACTTTTCCGGATCCCGAGGGCACATGTGTAGTTTCAACCTTGGGGCACTCTTCTGCTTTTCCAGATCCCAAAGGCACAGGACAAAGAACCAATGGAGAGGCTTCCACCACTCTCTTTGGCCGCCCACGGCCCCTTTTAGATGGAGGTGTAGCCTCTTTATTTGGTGTAGCCTCTTTATTTGGTGTAGCCACTTTATTTGGTGTAGCCACTTTATTTTGTAGAGCTTGCGTCTCCACAGTTGGATTCTGGGGCAGTTGGGGTACAACTGGCGCCTGCGTCTCACCCATTACTGCAACCGGGCTGTTTGTCAGCCCGGTTAATGTCTTTCCATTAACTTCTTCCTTCATCGTTGGAGAATCTGGGGATTCCGCTTGACAGAGTCTTTCAAATTCTTCTTCCGTCCATTGCTCTTCATAAGAGCGCACCTAAGCAAGTCAACAATCAAAATATAAGATATATACGGTAGTCAGTTCGTTGGTCAAATAATACTCATTTCACAATACCAAAAGGTTGGTACTATACAACAGTAAATATATACTACATGTAGGTAAAAATATACATCAATGACATATGAGCACAAGATCACACTGTAAAATTCATATAAACGGACCTCCCTAGCACGTTTGCCTCTTCCATAATGTTGGATATCGGGGCCTCCAGCATACCCACTCTTTCTCTTCACTCCGGAATTAGGTAATACACCTGGAGTCGGTGACTCGGAGATCTTCATGACTTCATAAAATGATTTTAAGTCATCATCTGTTACAAGTCGAGAGGGAAAAGGTGGTATCTGCTTGCACTTCTCTGACCCTTCCCCACCAAATATGTTTTGCCATGCAATCTACAGAGTTTTATAGATAAAATATTAAATTGCTCGGAATAAGCCCTTCTAGCTTAAATAATTAAAGCACAATAAATTTCAGGTTTGGTAAGTACCATTTCCTCTGCACGCCTCTCTTTGTCAATTGACTCAAAAATTTCAATTTCCGACTCACTGTATAGAAGGTATCATTAAAAAATAATTAGATAAACAAAACGCGAAATACTTTGCTTGCATTTCAGATTTGTTGTCTTCTTGAAGGATTTCAACAGCCAGTTCTAAAAGGGAGAGAAACTACACTGTTAAGCAATAACCAAGTTGTAAAATAAGATTGCATGCCTAATGTTCAGGAGAACTGTACCAATTTAAAAAGAACACAAGAACTGCGCCAATGAGATACTCTAACGGAATCTGTATTTTAGAGTCATACTTACGCTTTTAGAATAAATGAAGGAAATTTTGACTGTAAAAAGACGAGATGCCCACTGTAAAAAGTGTTTAGCTGTATGAGGGGAAATAAATTTCACTTTGCATTAAGGGGCTTTTTTCTGAGAAGATAAGTGCAGAAGTATGTATAATACTGGAATGCACAAAGCAGTCACTGCATCTCAGTCATGTTTCTAAAGTTATATTTGCCGTGATGTTGGTCTAGTCATCTAAAAGTCATAACAATTCACTACAAAATGCCAAAACTCTAATGAACTGTCCCCCTTTTTTCTTGGACCAAAATTAATTCGGATTATAAATGAGGGGGATTAAAACCTTGTTGGCCTCTAATGAACTGTCAATCAGTTCAGTAGTTCTTGAATATTACTTGACATTGATAGTCACTTTATTTTGCAGTAATTTAAATTATAAGGAACCATAGAATTTAGATAGTCAAAAGGTCTCATCCGAGCTAAATATCTATCATATCGAGGAGAATGTATACCGATCCCATACCTCATTCAAGTATGTCATGTTTAGCAGTGTGCTAATAGCATCAACATAAATAATAACATCAACAGAAAGAAAAAAATTATACCTGCGTGCTATCACATCATTAAGCGAATCATCATCTAAAACAGTCGCGACTTCCTCTTTCTTACATTCTCGTAGGAGAGACTCCAAGTATTCCCTTCGATCTTCCGCACTGACATGTAATATGTAGATTTTATTCAGTACATATCAATAAAATTTTCATAACACTCTCTTAGCAAGTACCAAAGCATACCTCGTATTATTGTCAAAAAAACCAGCAGTTATACTCTGATTGGCAACACCAAGTTTGTGCTCAGCGGAAGCTCTAACTTGTTCTTCCACAGTTTCAACCTGGTTAATATAGAAACAGATGTTAAGAAAACCATAGGAAAGTAGTGAGCCAAGACCTATACACAGAATATAAGTTCAAGTCAGTCCCCACAGAAACCATTACGTGTCGATCCAACGCCATCTAAAACTATCAATATATACTTAGAAACAGAAAACAAATATACATGTGCCCAACAATTACTGCTCTATTACTTCAGGATATCATTTTTATGCTGGGACGCCCACAGAACATTTCTTGTTTTAAACAGCATTTTTGTACAAAGCTCCATAATAGAGTTTTTGTAGCATTTCGTTCACAGAAAAAAAAAACAGTAACTTAAGTTCCGGAATTCGATGTTTACATACAGTTTCTAAGCGAAGAACGAGAACGTCCTTCTTTTGTCCAATCCTATGAGCCCTGGCCTGTGCTTGCAGATCAACCTGAACAAATACGAACAGTTCAAAAAATAAGACTGGATCGGAATACAAAAGGTTCACAATTTACCAGAAGAAAGGTATAGAAATATTGCCTGGGGATTCCAATCTGTATCAAAGATAATCACAGTATCTGCAGCTTGGAGATTCACACCAACACCTCCAGCTCGGATACTATTTGACAAACAGCAGGTCAGTGCAAAACGAGATTAGCAGCAGTATTAAACAAGAAAAATTTACTTTCTGCTCAGTGAGAATAGTATTTGCAAGGTAAGAAGATTGTATCAATGTTTAAACTTGCACCTACTCAAAGTTTCGTTAGGTTTAAGGAAGAAAATGCATTCCTGGCAATGATTGCTTGTTTGCAAAGTGCAACTGTAAAAATCCTTTTCCATCTGATCTGTGTAAATGAAGTTAATCTAGGCTCCTATGTGAGGCTCAAAATTACAGAGTAAACCATGTGATAGTCCCTTTAGCAATTATATTTCCATGCCTACGCCCTCTGGATCAGAACACCATACTATTAAAGATACTGCAAAGCATATCACTCCGTTCCGTTTCTCTTTTTTTCAGATAACTGACATCCGACTCCCTCATTTGGCAACCACACTCCAAATGCTTACCATTTTAGCATTTACCCGATATAACTTAAACCAATGACTAATAAGGGTATACTAGTATTTTAGGGGGGGGTGAGCGTGTTTATGCTAAAATCTCAAAAGTTTGGGGGTGTGGTTGCTCAATGATCAAATTCGAGGTGAGGTGGATGCCAATTACCCCATTCCTATTTTTTAAGGGCAAATGTGCTTCCACCAAAAAAAAAAAAAAAGACAAACTATTGACAGAAAAATGGATGGAGGGGTGCAGTTATCCAATTACGATAGCGGGATGCCAAAATCTCAGACGTGTGAGATGTGGTCCAAAATTTAAACATAACAGGATGCACCATTTTAGTTCTTAGTTTCTGTAGTCAAGTCAACCCAGCTTCTTTCAAGATTTCAGTTTATAGTCACCACAAAAGGATAACGATAGAAGTATTTTCCTCAGACCAGAAACTAGTGCAGTAACGTTTTACGTTCTGCCGGACCAGCTATATCTTTGGATGTCATTGCACATAGAAAGTTCAGATGCTTGCTAATTCAAGAAGAACATGATTACCTGAGTAAAAATATGAAGTAAGGAGATTCGGAATTATTGAACTGATCAATGAGAGCACCTCGATCACCCCCAGATGTATGGCCATCTAATCGTAGGTACTTATACTGTTTCCAGCATAGATAGTCTTCCATAACATCAAGTAGTCTCGTCATTGTTGAGAAAAGCAGAACCTGTAGAACAGAATATCTTTCTATCAACTCAGAAGATAATAATGATGCAATTTATAGCTGACACATTCTTTACAAGGAAGATCGTGCATATCTCAAGAAATTTGTCTCTACCTCTCTCCCCACCACACCAAATAGAACAGAAATGGTACGGATTTCATTCTTGCTGCCTTTTTCCAAAACATACTATGATCAGGTTAATAAGACAAAGAAGACTCATGAAAAGCAATCAGACTTCTAATATCATTACCCCAAAAACAGGGCTCTTAGTGACATCAATAAAAATACCTACATGCAACAAGTGAAAATAAATAGAACTGCGGCTTGTTCCAAAAAACAGAAGTTGCATCATCTTTGAAATATACTACAGCTGTCATTTATATATGGAATCAAACCAACTAAGGCAAGCATGCAGATGTACATAGAAAAAAGTTCAGAAATGGGAAGGAAATTAATGAGATAGAAACCAAATAGGACAGGGCAAAGTAATAACGAATGCATCCCAAATATAACCAGTTGGCTAAAGTAGTAAAAAGAAGGCACAAAAAATCACAACAATACAATTATGTTCCCAAAGCAAATACAAGCCAAATCTTAAACGTAGTCTTCAAAATGATTATCAAAGAGCATACAAGTGCAATGATGAGATGTAGATTGAACCACTCCATGCAACAATCACCAACATCCGTAACAAAAAATACGCAACCAAAAAGTAGAAAATGGACAAAAGGCGAATTCCAAATATAAAAGGAGAGATCTTCAGCTTTATCAACAAGAGCAAACCTACCCGATGATCAGTAGCTTTTAGTTTGGGCAATAACCGATCTAACATCTCAAGCTTCCCACAAAGTCTCACAAAGTTGGGAAGAAAATGCTTTGGAATCAAATCGTGAACCTAACCAAGAGAATAAAAAAATTTCGTTAAGTCCTACTAATTAACACCTTCTGCATCATGCACCTAAGAGAGATGCACCAAAGGAGAACAAAAACAAGAACAAATATCCTCAAGTCCTTAACAAATATCGTACTTACTAACTTTATCTTGTTGAAGAATCAACCATTCAAATTAGCAGACAATTTATTAAAACTCCACATTGACAGAAGCAGGGTCATTCACGTATGAACTTCTACACCAAGCTTGGTTTCAATTAGAGTGAATAGAATGTGAAAAGGCCATCACAAACAATTTTCTTAGCCATTAGACAAACTTATCAAGTATATGCATCTAATGATTCAACAAACACAAAGTAGCCTAATTGAAGAGAGAGAAAAATACCTCTTCCACATGAAGTTGACTGAGATATGGATGGTTACAAATATTGCGTAGTTCCATCACGGAGTTGTGCACAGTCCGAGCCTGATGAAGTATCAAGGTTAAAGAGTAAGAACTGAATCATATTTGTGTGCACTATCTCACTACATATTTGTCCTTATGCAGTTCTATGTAATGCACACATGGATGATGTATACTTGTATACCAAAATAGAACAGTATACGTATAAGCACATGCATATTCAACGAATACAGAAATGTAAGAAATTAATCTAAAACGACAACAACATGAGAAAACCTTTGAAGTTCCCATAGCACCAAGATTGTCTTCAACCCTCTTCATCAATAACCTTTGATAAGCAGAAGCTTCGCATCTAATAAGTCTTTCGATCTTTTCAGGCAATTCATTTTCAACCTGGTCATATGATTTAAAGTTAGAAAGAAGATTGAGCACGCAACAGGTTTTGATTCATAAAGTAAGTTAAAACCTGACCCGTCTACAACTTCAGTGACAGTAATGAATGACGTTTAATGGAAGTAATGGCCACATAATAGATATTCCACGTGATTTTAAGAAGCTAATAACGTAAAGATATTCTACGTGACAAGAGGATACTTATCTGCTTTAAAAGCTAGTAACCTATATAAAAACCTGAAGAAGTCAATATATACTATAAAAAGACTCAAAACATTGTTTACACCATATCCTTAATCCACTTCTTTGTACGAAATGATATCTTCTTCCAACTGATCCTTTCAGACCACAAAAAATGCAATAAAAATATAACAAACGCAAACAATCCACTTCCCTGCTATGCAACTTTTCTATGGCCGGTGGGCATTCAAATGAACAGTCTTCTACGAGAGGATTTATTTTGTCCATGCAACCTTTCTATCAAGAGGCAGTTCTCTACCAGTTTAGCAGGTGTTAAATCTCCTCCCAATATACGGACCATTACTATATGGTATCCATTCTCGGAATCTAAGTTCCAACTACCAGGTTCTTAGATGCTCTTAATATTTCCGATTTGCTTTTATGATTCAAAACAGTTCTATTATCATCAAGGCTTTGGGATGGTACATCCAATTAGGAATATTTTTATATTCAAGTTTATATGAAGACATGTTTATAAAAAAAACATCTATGTCCATTTAGGTACAAATGCAACCGAGTTATATAATATGGAAGCCAGGCAGTACCTTGTGCTTCAATCTTCGAAGTACAAATGGTCGTAGTACTTGATGAAGACGATTTATAATCAAAAGATTCTCCTCCTCGGATAATAAAGCCTGGTCATAATTAAGAGTTAAAATATGATAGTTATAAGAAACAAAGGACATAATGGTGGTATATGAGTTGAACTTACTTCATCTGGTGAATTGTCACCGTTACTCTGAAATGGTTTATTAAACCACTGAGAAAAATCAACAGATGAGTTGAAGATGTTTGGCAACAAGAAGTTGAGCAGTGCCCATAGTTCCTCAAGATTGTTCTGCATCGACAACAAGGGAAGAGAGACTATATATTTAGGAAACACAAAATAAAAATGTAACCAAATGATAGTACTCAAATACAAGCTGAAAATTATGTTTAATTGCCACAAATAACGAGTGCAGAGTACAGAAAGCTGATAAACGAGCAAACACGAGACCTGCAGGGGTGTTCCAGTTAAAAGTAATCTGTGGTTGCTATGATAATGTTTCAGATCAGCATTTAACTTGCAGGAAGCATTCTTAATCCGATGTCCTTCATCAATAATGATATAATGCCAGTGCACTTTACTTAGTTTTGGTCGATCGTGCTTGTTCATCAAATATTCATATGTTGTCAGAAGAACATTGAATTTCTGATGAACAATGTGCTCCCTGCAATGACAAAATCAAAATAAACAGTTAGAAATAAAATAAAGAAACTGCAAGAAATCATCAGGGGATTTGGCCAGGCTTACTTAAATAGCCTCCGGCGTTCATCAGGAGGCCCAGAATAAACAATTCTATGGATACTTGGAGCCCAAAATTTGATTTCTGACTCCCATCCAGGTAGTACTGAGGATGGTACAACTACTAGAAAAGGTCCTCTATCATTCTTATTTTCCATTAGGTAACAAATTAGAGATATCACCTACAAAGAGGATTTTATCAGATCCAGAATTACATTCAACAAGCTGCATTAGTTATATAGGCTTATATATTCACTTATCATACCTGAACAGTTTTACCTAAGCCCATTTCATCTGCTAGTATGCCATTCAAATGGTTATTATAGAGTGAAACCAGCCATCTTAGTCCATTCATTTGGTACCTTCAAGGAAACCGCAATATAGATATTCAAGAAGCATATAAAGTGGACTATACGTGCCCATGCATGAATGCATGCTAAGAATGTGAAGCTGAATGAACTAAAGTTATAGCACTTGTAGCAAAATCCAAATTTTTCAGAATATAGCAAAATAAAAGAGGAAAGAGTAAATATCACTCACTCTCTCAGTTTGCCACCTATAAGACTGGCTGGCTGATCAGCAATAGTCTCCTTCACACTGCAGGGAGAAAAAATAACATAATAAGTAAACAGAATCACCACTGAGAATTGATACAAAAACTTAACAGCATTATAATTTCTTAGCATGAACATATTCAGGATATCCAAGGGTTGTCACGGAACTAAAAAAATAAAGAGAAGCTCCATGAGCAGTAGAATCCACATAAATTAATTTAAGAACCAGGACATGTTACATGTAAAATCATAACAAAGTGGATGAAAAAAATAAAAACAGTGAGATTTTTTACATTACCTATGAGCCATCTTGTAGTACTTCTCATTGCTTTCCAAATAGTGCTGCAGAACAAAAGGCACATGACAAGCTAAGAGAAGGGACAAATTCAACTGGCTAACAAAATCAATGACAATGAAGTTTATGTAGTAGGTACATGACTCAATATTAGAACAGTAAAAATGAACCTTCGCCTGATCTTTTTCATCTTCGTTCTCAGCAGCATCTTCATTTTCCTCAACAAGAAAACCCTTGCTCTCCTCCATATCAGTCTCAAATTGTCTAGCCATAGCCTTAGCCTCCTTTAGTTTGGACCCTAGCTTTTGCAGATATTTTTCAGTCTCTTTTAGCAGTTGCTTAACCCGATCAGATTTGGCATCCTACATGCATATTGGAACACTATCAGAGACCAAAAATATAGAATTCAGCACCAAATGTGCATCTTTGTAAGCACACTGCACCTGAACCATTCGGAGATACCCTTCAACATCATTAATTTTCAACAAATTAATCTTTTCCCTCTGGATCCTGTCTATCTTCTCACGATGAAATCTTTCCTTCCTCTTGTGGAACTCCCTTACATATCTATTGAATCCTTTCCAGCGCTCTCTCTTTATTTTAAACCCATCCTCCAGTCTTTCTCTGAATTTAGCATCATCAAAGATATCAGAATAAAGGTATAAACTAGATAATAGCAGGACAAAACAACTCATGCAAGTAGACAGAACAAAGCTACCTGTGAACTTCTATCTCACTAAAGAATTCCTTCTGCCTGTCTTTAATTCTCTTCTGTCGCTCCTCTTTCATTTTCTGCTCGTATCTTTCAATTTGCTTTGATCTCCTTCCAATTCTGTGCTTCTTGATGGATTTCAATCGATCCATTTCACTGGCTATTGGTTTAAAAAAATCTTTTAAGATATCACTGCAGCAAAAAATATCAATTGTTAAATTAGATAAACAACAAGCTTTGACATCAAAATCCAAGTGTGCGGAAATAGAAACAGAAAACTAGGATTATAAAAACTGATAAGATTTCCCACGTGCGAGGTGAGGAAAAGGAGAGAAGAGAAGGAAAGGGCATGAAATTAAACAGAGAATTCAATGAATGCCAATCTGAACCATAGAAAGATAAATTACCTCCGAAGATGTCGCTGCAACTCCAGCAACTGAAGCTTTTTCAATTCAATTACACTTTTGGTCTTTGCAGAAATATCCTCAGAAGAGCTTACAATTTCCTGCAGTATGAATGTACGATAATAGATCACAATAACTTTAAAGAATAGACTGAAGCAACAAATCACTCTGGCAGAAGTTTATTGGAGTATCTCAAACAAATATTATTCACTGACATGAAAAAAAAAAAAATATATATATATATATGAGCAAACTAAAACAAGTCTTGAAAGACCAACCAGACTTCAACCTAAAATGGAAACTTAGAATCTTGGTTCGAGCATACTATCAAATACTTTAATCGAGAAAATAACAAGATCAATAATTTTCTATTTCCAACACTATTAATCCCCTTTGCTAGGCACCTGTTCAGAAGAAAATGGTCAAGGACAACAAATCATCTGCCAGTGTAATCATATAATCTCTTATTTTAGAACATCATCTTCAAAGAAACTAAATAAACATTTGAGCTTCTACATTCATGCAATGATTGTTTAGCAAACTAATAGAGAAGTTGAAGATCCAAGAGCTGAAGGTTGGTAAAGGCATATAAAAGGTAATTCTGCAAAGGATAAATCTGAAGTAAGAAAATCATCAAAATGCACTTTTACAATCCAGGAATTCTAGATGTTCCAAAAACTTGAGAAGATACATTCTTCACTATTTCTTGATATGCTACACATTACACAACATAAGGGTTCAACCAAGAATCAATTTGAATTTGGATCTTGACATGTCGACATTAACTGTGGCCATTTCGCCACGAAATTGATGGGCTCGTCTAAGAGAGCAGTTATGGTTGTACATTTCTACTAATTTTATATGAAGATTAACACGAAAAATTAAAGAACTTTTGCCTTAAATGCCAACTACACAACAAACCTTTAACTTATCAGAAGAAGCAGCAATTCTGTGCTCTGTTTTCTGCTGTTTCTGAGCCCAGTTCTGCTCCGTACGAGCTCTTCTCTTCTGCCGCTCCAAAATCCATCTTTCTACAGTGGTATGCTTTGGAGAAGGTTGCCTGTCAGTAGACATTGAAGCATGGTCCTCTTCCTTATCTGTCTCTAACACTGTAAATGAATTGTCCATTTTTCAATGTATCAGTGGAAGCACTTTGCCCATAAAAATTGATGAACTAAACCTTTTTAAAGGACAGAACCGCATTTTATAAGATACAAGTGCTTAAATACAAGGAAGCAAGTTTTAAGTATAATTCACAGATCAAATAAACCATATCGTCATCTTCGACTTGCATCAAAATATATTTACTTACCTAGTGAAACATTTTTTACTATTACATTAGAATCCTTAATTGGCATTGCAGGGTAATTCCGGCCATTCATTCCTGAAACAGGCTTCCACTGGTCCTTTACCTGAAACTTGGCAACTTCTTATCAGAATAAAACCTTCCTAAAGTATTGCAGCCCACAAGATTTTGGATGTAACTTGTAGCATCCTCTTTTCTGTGTAGCAATGATTTATTCGCAACAAAATTGGTAGGCAGTGATACCTTGGTAACATCATTAGCAAATCCATTTCCAGATCCGCCACTCTCCTCGAACTTTGATTGTTCTCCTGGGGACATAACTGCAGAGACTATGTGTTTTGGCTGGTGGTTGTTCCCTAAATCATCATCATGATTACGGCTAAAACCTTCCCGTGTGCTTGATTCATGCGGTTCTCGTTGTATAGATGCATGCAATTGCATGGCTTCCTGTGTTATAATTTCAGCTTCCGGTTTCCCTCTTGCAACTAAACTTTTCCTGTCTAGTTCATTTTCAGCTGGAATAGTAGGTTGACTACCTCTCTCTTCTGGAAATTTTGCAAAATCAGATTCCTTTGATGTGTTGCCATCCAAGATAGAAGGGCGATCCTTACTGCTATCTGGTCTTTCCCTTGGGACTTCTGGAACACTGCTTGGATCATGAATAAATTGCTCCTTTCCCTTCTGGTCATCTCTGCGATTTCCATCTGAAGAACAAATGTTATCACAAATTAAATGAGTAAAGATTTGCATAAAATGAAGCATCTAATTTTTTACCTTCTCTGGAGTAAATATTTCCAAGTGCAATCTCAAGATGAAGTTTCTTCGGCATCAAACCATTTCTGCACATGGAAACCCACAATATTAATGAAGAAGGAAACGTAAAATTCCTTGCTTAGTAAGATGGGCCATAGTATGGCAATTTTTTACTACCTGAAAGCCAAAAACACAAGGCACTGAGCTCTGAGCTGTTTTAATTGTTGTTCCTTAAACGGAAAGCCTGTACTGGGAGTCTGAGACACAGGAGATTTCCCTGAGTCCCTAGAGACAGTGGTTCTAAGCACGTTTGGTTCTGACAGACTGCTCGGAGCCTAATCAACAACAACCTCAACAATTAAAATCCATCTCAACATAATCAATTTACTGGGCGGTATTGAAGAGAGTTTGTTTACAACAACATGCCAAAATTAAAATAGCGACAAAACTTAGCAGGACAGGAGTACCTTATTTGCATTTGTTACAATAGAAGATCCTCCATGATCTAATGTCTTTCCAGCAATGCTTTTCCCAGTAGAATGACTGCTAGAAGGAATAGTAGGAAACACTTCCATGCCCCTGTCTTTAGACGTCTTGGCAGCAAAGCCATGGGTCTCAAGGGAAGAGTTAGCAAACTGCATCCTAGTTGCAGACTCTGCTGATAAATAAGAACCTGGGGCACCAGGAGAAACGCCATGAACTTTCACAGCACCCCCTGAAATACAGTACTTCCACGTCAGACAAAACAACTCATTCAAGACAAGGTAGTGAGCAAATTACATGAAGATCTGGAACTAATAACACCTGAAGTACAACAAACGGAGAAGTTTATATTCATTTACAGGAAAAGTCTGCATGGGCCAAAATGATTCCCATTTATCTAGTCGGCAGCAAATGTAGACGGAGATAACAGGTGGAGCCAACGAATATTTCTTGCTCGGTAGAAACGCACAAGTCTTTTCAGTTAAATGATAATTAATAATACGATATAATTGACTAAAAGAAGTTTGCCCAGAGCATCTGTCACAGGTTTAAAAAACTACGCTTACGCACTCTTATGAGGAGCAGTCGTGCTATTCCACTTCTATGAAAACTTCAAACGAAGTGTCAATTCACAGATATATAGGAGCTTTACGAGGAAAAATCTAGAGCATGGCTAGAAAATAAAACATATTTCTTCAGATAACATAAGCCAACAGTCCGACAAGGCGATAACATTAATTTGGGGAAACTGAACAACTTTTTGTCTGCATGTTGCCTAAATTTAGAATATAAAGACATTTTTCTTAGCTTAATCAGTCCTTTTCCAGTTGCCATGACTATCATACATTTATTTGCTCAATAATATTGAGTATTCAATACTAACCACTTAAATGAGCCGCAGGCCCTTGATACATCTCATGTCCACTACTTCCTGGCCCAGTATGAACCCTAGTTGATGCATATGCCTCGGATGTTCCCATCTCATTTCCAGAAAAGCTCGATTTGGAGTCCTTAGCAGCAGTGACCCGCTCAGAAGACCCTGTAACATTACATAAATCATAATACAAGCATTCGGTTACACAATAATCGATAGATTTACACCAAATTGTAGTTTTGATGTGAATATGCAAGCTTCTAGCTGAGTGTGAAAATGATAGATGATTTTACCAGCTAATTGTGATGATGCAGAATCTCCAATTTGTGATCCAGCTGCCAGGGGAAGGCGCGACGACATTAAAGTTTCAATATCAAGATTGTTTTCTTTGATAACAGTTTCCATGGCCCTTCATAGATTGTATAAATCAATAAAAAAATACATAAAAAATGTAAGCGTAAAAGATCCAAACAAATAAAAACGTAGATATCAAGAAGATTAGAAAACAGTGCCAAATACGATCATAAGTATACTGAATTATTAATTTAAATAGAATGTTACCGTAAAGACTCAATAAATATACATGTGTGTGTCTGTGTCTCTGTCTGTGTGTGTGTGTGTGTGTGTGTGTGTGTGTGAGAGAGAGAGAGAGAGGGTGTCTGTGTGTGTGTGTGTGTGTGTGTGTGTGTGTGTGTGTGTGTGTGAGAGAGAGAGAGAGAGAGAGAGAGAGAGATAGTGGATATAGAAATTGATATGGATATCTCACACACAAATGGATCTATCAAATAATAATGCAACTAACTAAATTGGCCTTCCCAGAATCTTCGGCATGTTTTACCTTGATATGACTTGATAAGGCATTGAATTTTCTTTCCCACTAGATCTCATGTGCTGCAAGATCTGTTTAACCAACATATAAGACAAAATACATGATCCAGAAAAATGACAAGATGGAAAATAAAGGGGGAAAAGCAATAATTAATGCCACACAAGAAAGCCTCACACACCACATAAAGCTTTGTAGCCAATTTGGTAGGCTCGTCTTTAGACTCCTGGATAAGTTTGTGCAGAAATTTGGCTGCCTCCAGCTCAACATTCTGTGGATTCCCCATTTGCCTGATCTGCACTATATGCCTGTAAGCACAAAAGCAACAACAAAACACAAATATCACTTTTAGTTGCTTTTAGAGTCCAATAGAAGCTCCCCTCCATGACATGAAGAAGAATCACACCGCAAAATAAACATTTAAGGTTCATTTTCCATGAAATCAAGAGGATGCAAGAACTTGAAATTATGCAGCTTGAAGCGCAACTGTAATCTAGAAACCGGCTACGGCATTTATTCCTTAATAAATTCGTCGATCAAAATTTAGGTTCATTAGACGTTAGTAGCTTCCAAAAGGCACTTAATAATGCAAATTATCAAATTGCACCTCGAACATTGTGCATCAATTTGCCACATAACACGCAAAATAATTGTGTGTGTGGGTATGTGTATAGTACTCCTAAAGGAAACAACATGTAAAGGTTGTCTTCAGTAAACTATAACATGCAATTCCACCAAGTGAAAACTCAAAAAACGAAAACAATAAAAATATACTTTTACCAAAACCATCAATTTCCTTCCAGCACCGAAATGCTTCTATCAAGGCAAAGGCATCCTCGCAAGGCCAGAAAAAAATTCTATACAAAAAATTAGCAACTTCTTCTAGTATCGTGATCCATCGATTTAACAGCACAAATTCGAAGTATTTTCTCCCTAGGTTTTACAGAAATACGCTTAATATAATCAGAAATTCACAAATTAGAAAATTAGGGTTTTTATGCGAGTTTACCTGACAGTCCCGGAGGATAAATTAAACTCCTATATGGAGCTACATGAATTAAATTGTCGCTTCCTTGGGCAGATTTCCAGTGTTTTCGGTGTTCAATTGACGATGAACGAGCCCTAATTGCACCACTGATTTCTCCCTTTTTCTCGTTGTTTTCTCCTGATTCGTGTTTTGATAGAGCGTGTAGTACCGCTACCGCGATGAAGAAAGTAACTCTGTGAGATCCTGAAGTCGCGTTTCTTTTAAGCTTCACGAAATACGACTTCCAACTGTAGATAACTTGACGAAGATAATTGGAGAAAACCATTAGCGCCTTTGGGGTAAATTGCATTTTGCACCCCGTAATTAACCCTGATTGGCGCTTTGCACCCCAATATTTCAAAATTGACAAAGTCAACCCTCAAATTATATATCTCATTTAGCAATGCACCCCACATCAATTCCTTATGAGATTTTAACCCAAAAATCAATATATCATGTTATATTAACCTTTGAAGGGATTTTCATGCTTGATGGTATATTATAGTTTTTACTTACTAAAAAAAATGTAAAGCCTTATTTTAATGAATCCATTTATTTTTTATCAACTACATATTTAGAAAAACTTTAAAAATGTTCACCAGTTCTCATTCTATTTTTTTTAATGCATATTGACTTCATGGAAAATTAGGATTTTTTGAAAATTAAAATTGAACTAGAAATTTTACATGCATTTATTGATTCGATGTGAAACATATGAAATAAATCACCAATTATGTTTTTCTTTAATTTATACACAAGTAAAATAATTAAAATAAATATTAAGTAATAAAACAAAACATAAAGAAGAATGAAAATTCTTCAAATGTGTAAAATATCACGATATATTGATGAGTTTGGGCTAAAATATCACAAGAAATTGAACTCAGGATATATTTTGTAAGGGTGAAACTTTGCCAATTTTTAATGACATGGTGCAAAACACCAAACACTGTTAACTTTGGGGTGCAAAACACAATTCACCCTGAATTGTGTACATCAAATATAATATTATTATATCTATTTGCAAACATCATGAATTATATCTTATTAGTAGTAATCCATTAGTATAACATATCTTATTAGTAGTAATCCATTAGAATTTTTATGTTGGATGATACAAATTGTATCCATTAAACTTTGGTAATTTGACAACAAAATGCATTTAGATTTTATCCTTTTCATTTCGTGTTAATGCGCAAAATAAATATATATATATATATATATATATATAAGAAATTAAGAAGAAAAGGAAAACTGCAAATTATAGCCAAACAAAAAATCAAATAAATAAATAATTGTACTATTTTATTCATTACAGCGAAGAAATAAACATTAGGTAAATACGATTCAACCCTAACCAAAAGTTAGGGCCAAAAATCCAGAAAAATAAAATAAAAATCACAACTAATAAATAAAAAAAAAACAAAAAGGGCAAATTCATAATAATCAAATCAACTCCCATCGAAAGAATATGTATAGTAAAAAAATTAAAGCCAAGGAGTTTAATTAATATTCATTCTCAATTCTCTCCATCGATCAGATCAGATCATTCTTCCGTCTCTCTCTCTGACTCTCTCTCTACTGAAGGAAAAGGCCGGCGAAAGACAAGACCACGGAGAAGCAAATGAATGCTCCGGAGCTCGTCGCAAATTCAGCTCCGGAGTTGGGTCCCGGCGCCGGAGCGGGCGAGGAGAGGCTTTCCTCCGCTCTAGCGGCGGCGGCAAGGAGGCAGAGCACCGCGAAGACGGTGAAGAATGCGGTTCTGGAGGCTGCCATCTTAGTTTTTCTGGTGGTGGTGGTGGTGGTGGAATTGAACAGAGAGAGATACAGAAATTTCTGTAAGTATTGTGTGTTTTTGCGAGAGGAGAGAGAAAGAGAATGGTGTAGATGTGGATGTGAGGGAGAAGAGGGGAGAAGCAGTCGCTTTTATAGTTGCTGTGGTGTAACGGTCAGAGACTAATCATTGATTTATTTTGATTTATTTTAGGCTGAAATTACTCTGAACGTTACGATATGAACGTTGGAGATGTGGGGCCCGCGTGGAAAGACATAAGGTAACGGTCGCATTAGCAGAGGGGGGGATTTTGAATGAAGCGGGCCCCACGAATTATTGCCCCAATACTTTTTAATTAAAAATTATGGAGCTCTTTAATCATTTTTTTTAATTAATAATTAAAGAAAATGACAACTGTTAACCGGCTCGAACCGGCTGGAAATTGGCAAACACGGTTCCAATTTCCGTAATTTGGGTCCAATTGTTATAATGATTTTGGGCCTTCTAATCGGGCTGACAGAAACTAAAAAGGAAAAAGGGTAAATTACACATCGCCCCCTGTAAATTTCTAATTTACGCATTTTACCCCCTCAAAATTTTTAAAAGTGAATATCACCCTTCAAAATATTATTCTGGTTGCACATTGCCCCAATAGCGAAATTCCGATGGATTATTCATCCGAATTGAGTGTTTTTGTTGCACATCACCCCTTTAAATGTTATTTTTATTGCATGTTGCCCCTTGAAAACATTATTTTTTTGCACATTGCCACTTTAAAATGTTTTTTTTTTGCACAATGCCCTAAAAAAATTGGCTTATGGAGGAAAGTGCAATCAAAATAATATATTTGAATGGAAAATATCCGTTTTTTTTTAGGGGCGAAAGTGCGAAAATGAGAAATTTATAGGGGGCGAAGTGCATTTTATCCAAGAAAAAAAAAGGCATACGAGGATTGTGTGGAGAGAATCATGCGATGCTTAGATGCTACACCAGAGTTATTTACATACGGTTACTTAACCGTAGATTTACACATAATTACACACACCCAAGTGTATGTGTGAAACCTCATCTACAGTTAACAAGCACCCGATGTAACATCTAACCTCCCGGATTTTAACCTACATTTGGTTAATCAACTACACTTATCACAAACAAACCACCTAGATATATAGACAGTTTTTACATTCAAGAAATGGGGAAAAAAAAAACAAATTAAATATGATGATGAGCTTCTTCTCAACCAGGTCTTTGAATATTGATGAGCCCCTTTGTCAACCAAATCGCAGTTTCTCTCGACGAAACAGCTTGATCTTCTTCCCCAAACGGCTTCAAAATTCCGGCAAGCTCCTCTAGCTTCTGGCGTTTGAGAAGCTGCGCACAAAGCTCAAGCAAAGACTCCATTGCTTGTGCTTTATCGGTTGAAATTTCTTCTTCAACCGGCCAATTGTTGTATACGCTACTCGAGCTCCCGTTTATCTTTTCCGTTGTCTTATTATCAATAGCAACTTCACAGTGAATTTGTTCTTGCTCAGGTGGTTGTTGTTGTTGTTGTTGTTCTTGTTCTTCTTCTTCTTCTTCTTCTGTTCGTTCTGTCTGATCTTCTTGCTGATCTGTCAACGTACTTGTTCCGGATGAGCATACAGAGTTCGTACTTTTGCTTTTACCGGCCGAATTGAATTTAGTGATTTTGATAGAACTGGGAGAAATGTACTTCGATGAATTTCCATGATCGAGGGGCAATCTTGTCTTCTTCTTACCATCCTTTTTCGTAGTAACAGTTGGCTCTTTCATTAGCCCGTTATTGTTAGGTTTGTTCACTCGTTTTACGGGGAGAAAAACGGGAGATAAATTGCTGTACTTAGCAAGATATGGTTGTAAATGAGGATGCCTCAAAAGCTCTGCAGCCTTTAAGAAAATGGCCATATATCAGTATACGATATATCGATTATTTTTTATAATTCGATAAGTTTGTATTTGTATTTCAATTTTCATGCACTAACCGTTGGCCTATGTTCTGGACTTTTTCGAAGCATGGTTTTGATCAGTTGCTTCCTATATACAATGCCAATATCGTATTATAAATATACGCAGATTACTTACGTGAAACGGAAAATTGTTTTCGAATTCGATTTTAACTCACAGTGAAGAAGAATATACTGTCGGGAGAGGAGAGAGGGTGGATCTGTTTATTTTGTTGACGAGTGCAGCCATATCCTGTTTGATTGATTAAACATTGCACGGGGCAAGTAATTAATTAAGACGAAATTACGATTGAGGATCGAGAGATTTTAAGAAACTTACTGTAGCCCGGAACGGAGGTTGATGCGCAGCTATTTCAAACATGCAACAGCCTGAGAAAACGGAATAAAATTTGAGTTCACTATAGAAAAAAAGATTAAATAAAATAAAATGGTGACAAGTTAGATGTATGTTAGTTACCTAAAGACCATATATCCGACTTATAGCCGTACGGTATATCCGCTAGAATTTCCGGACACATGTAGTTTGGAGTGCCTACCACCTACACATAACGCGATTCGGAAAAAAAATTTGTTAGAGAGAGAGAGAGAGAGAGAGAGAGAGAGAGAGAGAGAGAGAGAGAGAGAGAGAGAGATGGTTACTGATGAAGCAAGATCATCTTTATTCAGCAATTTAGCTAATCCGAAATCACCTGCATGCAGAAGTCTTTTATTAGGCACACGAAAAAAACGAAGAATCAACATATGTAACAACAATTGAGGTTCTTATCTAATCTTACCGAGTCTGATTTCGTTGTCTCTGGTAAGGAAAATATTTGAGCACTGGAGCCGAACAACACACCACAAATAATTCGTTATAAAAGTTCAAATTAAAAATAATAAATAAATGGTAAAATAAAGAAATCAATGTACCTTAAGATCCCGATGAAGGACTCTGTTAGAGTGCAGGTAATCCAATGCTAAAAGAAGCTGAGTTAGCCATCTGCATATCTTCTGTAGATAGAAAAATAAAACGTGGCTTATAATTAACAGCCCGTAAATTTCAGTGTATGCATAATGTCTATGTATATATGTCGATTACCTCTTCAGGAAAATGTATTCGTCTAGCTTTCTTGATTATCTCTGCCCTGAAAAATATTCAATAATATTTTATTTTAGCCACATAAACGACGAAAGCTGGAATAAGATTATCGAAACTTACATGTCTCCACCTTCGCAGTAACTCGTCACGATGCACACGAACGAGCCCTGGTCCGTCAAAATAAACGTAACTTCACTTACTCGGACCACAGATTGAATCAAGAACTGAGGTGTATATATTATATATACTTTTTTTACACACTGTAGTGTGTTGGTTTTTAATTTACCTTCTCCACCCATGCATCCTTGTACTCGATAATATACGGGTTCTTCAATTTTTCCATCAAAGCCATCTGCATAAAGAATAATCAATAAAAAACACATAATTATATGAAAGTAAAATGTGAAAATCAATATATATTATTACTTCAGTAAAAAGGTTAAAAATGAAAAGTTAACCATCTTCCACAAATTAATTACACCATATATATTTTCTTTTATGACAGAGAAGATATAGTAGTTGCATCCCCATTGAATGATCAGCAGAGCATAAATTCCTTATCATTAATGACAACTATACCCCCACGGATGGTCCCCGTAGCCACGGTCGTATACTCGTATAAAAATAAAAAATACTGCCTCCGTTTCTTTTTAAGTGACGTTTTAGCAATAAAAAAAATATTTTTATATTATGTGATGTTCTAAAATTTCGATGTCGGAAAAATTAGTACTCTAACACTAACAACATAATGAAGTAAGAGAGAGAGAATGTTAGGGGCAATTTAGTCAAAATAAAGTAACAACTTTCATTTTAGTTGTACCTAATCAGAATTCAGAACATTTGTTTCAATAACAGCTAATTAAGGAAAAAAAAAGAATAATTAATTAATTACTTCCTGGTGTGCAGTTTTCTTGAATTTTTCGGTTTGCTTGGCCAGACGAATCTTCTTCAAGACATACCTGCAAAATGCAATGGAGAGTATGTAATTACTACATAATTAGAGGGCTAATCTGCAAACTTCTTAATTCCCATGATCATGCAAACAAGTTTAATAAAGAAAAAAGGTTGTAATAAAAGTTTAATAAACCTCTTCTTCTCAGATTTGTGAAGAACAAGAAAAGCATCTCCAAAAGATCCTCTTCCAATCTGCTCCACCACTTCATAATCTTCCATCTTTGTTTTTTTATTTTGTTGCTGCTTGTGGACTCGGTTACGAGTTAACTCAGCTCTAACATATTATCAGAAAAGGGCTGTATTTATAGTTATATATAATATATAATATAATAACTTACCACAGGTGAATTTATTGCTCAATTGAGAAACATGACAGAACCATGAAGAAGAGCTTATTAAACATTGAATGCAACACGGGTGTAGTAAAATAGTAATTAAATGAAAATTTGAGGGTGTGTTAAGAAATAATTTTATGTGGTGCGTTCACATTGATATGGTTTTTTAAGTGGGAGGGGAGGGAAGATTATTTGAGGCAAAAGCAAAGTAGTTAATAATAATAAATGAATAAATAAAAAAGATGGGACAAATTTAAATGAAAAGGGGGAACTTTGCTTGCGTTTCCAGATTCTGCTGTGACATAATTACAATTGTGTAGTTGGCCTGTCACTGTGTCCTTCTGGTGAATTGTTAATAGACACTGTGTGTGTGTGTGTGTTTTTTTTTAATTCAAAAAAGTTAATAAAAAATGGGAAAATTACAATTTTTATCCCTTAAGTTTGCACTGATTCCACATTTGGTCCACATGTTCATAAAAAATACATTTGGTCCCTCATTTTTTAATAATTTAATATTTTTGGTATTTTCCGTCAATCTACCTTTACTTTGTCAGCTAAGGCAATGATGGAGCCACCCTTGATTCCGTTAGTACTAACAGAAAATTGACGGAAAATACTAAAAGTGTTGAATTTTTGAAACTTGAGGGACTAAATATGAAATTATATGCAAACACGAGGGGTGGAAAATTGATTTTTTTAGTTTGAACTATGACTACGGGATAGAAAGAATGCTATTAATAAAGAGTCAATTATTTGCATTATAAATTCAACGAAAGAAGGGGAGAATAGGACTTATCGGATCATAATTAATAATTTCGAGAAAAAAAAAACATTTTTCTTGGAAATTAGAATTTTCAGAATAACCGGATCGAATGGTCACCAATAATATATAGTAATATTGATATTATAAGTATAATTTTCTAAAAAAAATTAAAGTTTTAGAAAAATGTATTCCAATACTGCTACAGACTTTAAAAAAAAAATTGGAAACCATAAATTTTGAATTTCAAAATGGGAAATATAATTTTAAAATAAAAAAAAATATTTGGATTTGGATCGGCCAAGTTCAGAAATTTATTCCCAATCAAGAAAAAAGTGGACACCATATTATGAATTACGGATTACCATAATCAAGATTAGGAGTTTTAATTAGGGAGAAATACAATATCCGTCCCTCAAGTTTGCATCGACTTCACATTTTGTCTCTCATATTCACAAAAAAATACATTTAGTCCATCATGTTTTATAAATTCAACATTTTTAGTCATTTTTATCCATTTTCCGTTAGTACTAACGGAATCATGCATGTGCCCACTACTGCCTTACCTGACATAATAACGATAAATTGACGAAAATGACCGAAAATGTTAAATTATTGAAACATGAGGGACCAAATATGTTTTTTTAAAACATATAGGACTAGATGTGAATTAATGCAAACTCTAGGGGTGTAAACTGTAATTTCTCCATTTTAATGGGCAAGGGGCAAAACAGGAAAGAAAAAACAACAGAAAATGAACAAAACCTCCGGACAAATAAGGCAAGTTCGTTCATTGGCGAAAAAGTTAGAAAGAGAAACGTCTCTTCTTCTTCTCCTCCTCCTTCCTTCCTTCATTTTTCTGTTCTCTCTCGTTCATCAGAAAATATAAATTAATTTTTAAATAAATAAATAAATAGATAACAAAATCACTATAGAAAAAAAGTTCAGAATTCATTCATCCTCCTCAAATTCGTTTCCTGAAGTTTCAAATCAATTCCTGTTCTGCAGGAGCACGAAGCATATATATATCCTTCTCCGATCTTATTTATTTCCTCGGTCAATTTCTTATTTATTCCTCGGTCAGTTTCTTATTTATTTATTTTTTAATTTTTTTTCCATTAATTAATTTCTTTGTGTATTTATGTTCTTCTTATGCGTCCACAGACGGTGGATCTGCCGTTTCAGTAAATATTTCATTTTGGGGGTTTTATTTTATATTAATTAATATTGTGAAAAAAATGATTATTAAATGAACGTTTGTGTTTATTTTTTATTTATTGGAGAATAATTTTTTTTCTATTTAATTTTTTTTTGTATATTTTGCAATAGGGAGGATTTTATTTATTTATTTGTTGGAGACTAATTTTTTTTCTATATTTTTTTTTTGTAGATTCTGCAATAGGGAGGATTTTATTATATTTGAATGTTGTTTTGATTGTGTTTGAGGTGTGTTGGTTTGAATTTTTCGGGTATTTTTTTTTTTTTGGTATATTTTGCAATAGGGAGGATTTTATTATATTTGAATGTGTTTTGTTTGGGTTTGAGGTGTGTTGACATGAGTTGGTTTGAATTTTTCGGGTAATATGCGAACGCGATGAATTTTGTCGATGATGTCATGTCGTTTTACACCGTAGATATAGGCACAATCACAAACATACACATGCGTGTGTGTAAAAGTTAGTAGCTTACACACACGCATATATATATATTACTTGATATTATCTTGCTTTCAATGTGGGATTAGGTGTTATAACAATACACTTGTGGTATATTCTTTTCCGGACATCGTTGATTTAAAATGTACGTTAGCACGTATTGTTTGCGTTTCTTTGTTCTTTTCCTTGTCTATACGTACAAGATTATCGCATCAATTAGTCGTAACAAAATTTATTCCAGAAATCACGAAATGGAACACGACGAAACAGGGTGCCAAGCCTCTCCAGAAGGCCCTCTTCTATGCGTGAACAATTGCGGCTTCTTCGGCAGTGCTGCAAACATGAACATGTGCTCCAAGTGTTACAAGGACCTGATTCTGAAACAAGAGCAAGCCAAATTCGCCGCCTCGTCGATCGAAAACATTGTCAACGGATCATCAAGTGGGACCCCCACCGAGCAAGATTCCGTAATTGTTGCAGAATCTGCAAACATCCCGACTCCTTCAGTCGAAGCAAAGTCAATTTCTTTGCCGTCAGTTATCAACGCTTCGACCTCGGACGAACCACCCAGAGCAAAGGAAGGGCCTAGCAAGTGCAGCTCCTGCAAGAAACGGGTCGGGCTAACCGGGTTCAAATGCCGGTGCGGCAGCACTTTCTGCGGGTCGCACCGCTATTCGGACAAACACGATTGCCCGTTCGATTACCGGACCGCTGGTCGGGATGCTATAGCCAAAGCCAACCCGGTCGTGAAGGCGGAAAAGCTCGATAAAATCTAGTTTGAATTTCTTTCTTTTCGATATGGCATTTCTCGATTCTAATCTTCCAAGATGATGATTGGTGATTGTGAGTTGGATGTGTTGTGTTGTGATTGGTGAGAATATGTTTGTGGTGGGTCCAGTTTATGTGTCTTGTATGTGTGTGTGTGTGTGATGGTACTTTCTGCATCATATGTATGGTGTTTATTCATGTGTCTATGTGTGGTGTGCGGTTCTATCCTAAGATTATAACTTGCAGGCATCCACAAAGACAAGCTTGTAATATATTTGTATTTGTTTTAAATTCTAATGGCATCTTTTACTTGCATAAGTATTTGTTATAGATGGTGTTCTCGTCTTTTTTGCACAATCTGCTGAAATACACTGTAGTTTTATACAATTAATCTACATATAACAACACACATACCAATGTGTATGTGTGCTTAGTGTATAGTTATTTACGTAGATTTACGGTAGTTTATAATTGATTGTTGTATTTCACCGGTGAAATGAGTACTTTGCAATATTTATTTAGAAAATTAATAAAAAATTAAAAAATACAACTAAAATGTTATCTACACTAAGGTGGTGTTTGCAAATGATTATTTAAAAGCAGAAGTTAGTGATTGTGATTTAAGTTCGTTTTAAGTGCTTATTTTCAAAAGTTGGGAGTGTTTGCAAATATTCCAGAAAATAAACTTAAATAGAAAAAACAGGATTATGGGTGCTTTTAAAAAAATAGCTTAAAACAAATTATTTTAAGAGAAGCAAAAACAAAAATTGATTTTGCAAACACACCGCATAATAACTTTCAAAAAACATTTACAAACACCACCTAATCCTATCTCCATAAGTTTTGCGGGAGACAATTTGATTTACCAACAAATAGGGCAAAATTGGGAAAAAAGAGGAATTCTCTAAAACCTCAGTTAATTTCGTCAATGGTGAGTTAGCGTAGTTCAACCTGTGAAAGTAACGATCCGTGTAGCTTTTGGGAGCACGAAACATCAGGTATTCCGGCGCCCTTCTCCCAACAGTTGGTTCAATTCCGAAGCGTCTCTTAATATTGCATCCAAACTGTTCGACATATTGCCGCACCGGCCACCAGAGTACAAAAAAAAAAAAGAAAATGAGCAAGCGGCCTCCTCCCGATCCGGCGGCGGTTCTCAGAGGCCACCGCGCCTCCGTCACGGATATTTGCTTCCACCCATCAAAGAACATCCTATTCACCGGCTCCGCAGACGGCGAACTCCGCATCTGGGACACGTTACAGCACCGCACGATTTCATCCTCATGGGTCCACAGCGCAGCTCACGGTGTAATAAGCATCGCCGCCGCTGAAGAAAACAGAGTGATCACTCAGGGAAGGGACGGAGCTATCAAGAACTGGGATATAGGAGAAGGCACCGCCATCTCTCGAACCCCACTCACCACTATCAAAACTAATTCCTACCACTTTTGCAAGCTCTCACTCATAAACAACAATCATAACAATAATCATGTCGCCGTAGCTGGAGAAGATTTGTCGGCGGTCGAAATCTGGGATATTAATAGAGCCGAAAAGCTCGTAAAACTGAGCTCCTCAAATTCTTCGAGAGGAATGTGTATGGCAGTTCGAGGTTTTGAGTTGCAAGGGTACGTAAATGTTGTGTCTGGATACGAAGATGGATCGATGGCTTTGTGGGATTTAAGGAATCCGGCTTTACCGGTGACTAGTATGAAATTCCACTCGGAGCCCGTTTTGAGTTTGTGCATAGACAGTTCATGTGGAGGTGGGGTTTCTGGTTCTGCAGACGAAAAAATTGTGATTTTTAAATTGGATGCTTCGACGGGTTCTTGTTTGGTAAAGAGAGAGATTGTCTTGGAGAGAGGTGGAATTTCGGGAACTTCGATTAGGCCCGATGGTAAAATTGTTGCTACTGCAGGGTGGGATCATAGGGTGAGGGTATACGACTATCGAAAGGGGAATGCTTTGGCTATATTGAAATATCATCATGCGATTTGTAATGCGGTCTCGTTTTCGGATAATTGTAGATTGATGGCTTCGTCTTCGGAAGATACTACTGTTGCTTTGTGGGAAATTTATCCTCCTTCGACGAACTGAAATCAGACTTCCATTGAATTCTTGATTATTGTTTGCGTCATATTTATTGTGTAATCTGCACCAAGTTTATGGTGAACCTTACTCTGTTTTTTTCGTTTTCAACATGAAAAAGTGCAATCACAAACTTTGGTATTCAGTACATCTCACACATAGAAATTAGAAAGCATTGTTTGTGATGTCCTATTTATTACAAACCAGAGACCAACGCGTTGGTTATTACAACAAGATTCCGAATCTATAAAACATCAAAGATTGTGTTAGAAAATTCCGGTTAGTTTGGGATACCCGCTAACGCTACAATGTTTACAGCACGACAAATGGCCGAAGATCGGAAAGATTAATATGTACAGTTGGAAAGCCCATTTGAAATTTGGCAAGAAACTCCATAAGAATCACAATTGCCAATAATAGTATCGCGGATCAAGGAGAATCGCAACTTTAGTGTGATGATCAAAAGTCATTTTCTTTTTCGAGTTTCTATCAAATTTCAAATAACCTTTCCAACTGTACTTACTCATCCTTCGAACCCTCGAAAACACGACATGCATATAAGTATGACAGCATTAGCATTCCTCATCTTTTATGATTAGAACAACAAGATGTAAAAAGGTTAAAAACTAAGAAACCGAAAAATCAGACAGAAATTCCACCGGAAGATTCAGCTTCAAGATACTTGCAGATCCTCTCCATAACCTCTCTCCCCTTAACACTATTATGCTGAAACTTCTCAACGCATTTCTGCTCGATCTTCCCCGCCATTGAAGCCAGCTTCGAAAACGGCTTTATACTTATGCTAGTCTCCTGCCTACACACAGTCCACCCGTTTGGATTATCCGGGTGAGGATCATACCTAATCTTCTCCTCCACTTCAATGAACTTTTGGAGACTAATATTACGAGTGGTTAGTTGCATAGACCTTGACTGTGCATCAACCACCGTTGATTCGACACAGTGGCACATATCTTGGCCGATGATTTTACGAACAAACCATGGCCCAGGGGCGTGGATGGTAAGTGCGCGAGTTGTGTGTAGTTTGCCTGAGTCAGGTTCCAGCTTGTGGCTTAAAGTATCGACTTCGAGTATGTGGGATAGAGTTCGTTTGTTCTCTGGATCGGAGAATTTGCGCCAAGATGCAGCGGTTACTCTTTCCCAGGGGTGCTTGTATGTGTGTTCTTGAGAATATGCCCTAACCATACTTTCTTTTTTCGGATTGATCTGCTGCTGATCAAAAGAAATAGAGCACCAATCAAATCGATGTAATTATAGAACATATACGCAACAACATAGAGAGCTAAAAAAAACACGCAGAAACAGTCGTCGAGTACGATAAATTGTGATGCGATTCAACCATGAATCAACATTCATAAGGTTTTGCATTTCACTCCATATTGTTGGATTCAGCCATTTTTAAACTCATGGTAATACAAACTAGAAGAATCCAACACACAAGCAAGATTTCACAGTATCCAATTATGATTTAGAAACTCAGCTAAAACAGATTTGAAATCAAGGTATTATATAAAAACTGAAAGTGATCACCAATCGAATCAAATCGAAATTTTTAATTCTTCATGACGAATAATCCCAAACATTGAACAAAACAACAGATTAAAAAACAAAAAAATTGCCAGATAAATCAATATAGAGATCATAATTAAGAAATCTGTAGAGCTACGAACATGAGAATTCCAATTCAGAATCCGCCCATGGAAAAAACAGATGGAATTTCTTAACCGTACTTCGCCGGACAAAATTTAGGCTCGATCACCACTTATTCGCAGGTTCTCCGAAATTGAGGCACAAATTTTCAAACGAAGAAGAAAGACGTGATTTATGTTTGAATTGTTAACGAATTACCTTAATCGGTGGCGATTGAAGTCGGCAATTGCTGGAGGAGGCGGCGGCGTGGAGGCGGCTAGGGCTCTCTGGAGTGAGGAGCTGGGCTTCTGAATTTGAGCTGAAATTCACCGATCTAAAATCTGAATAAGAAAAAAGAAAAAAAAAAAAAAAAAACTTGTTACTGGCGAATTAGAATTTTTAATTTTTTTACTGGGTTTTCATAACAAATAAAATTAATTAATTATAGACTGATTAGGACATTCAACTCTGTTATGGATATTTTTTTCCTAGAAGTTCTTTATAGTAAAATTCTATTATAAATACCGGGTAAAATGAGTTTTTTAGTCTTATAAGTTTACTAGTTGAGAGTTTTAGTCCATCTGTTTCAAAATGAGAATTTTAGTCTTGTAACTTAAAAAAATTGGGAATTTTGGTCCTATGATGACCTGTTATAACAGGTAATGTGATGGTTGGTTGAATGAGGTGGCATTTAAAGTATCAAAATAAATAAATCCAAAATAAATTAGGTGATGTGGCTAATGAATTGGACGATTTTGGAGGAAAATAAAATATACCATCATTTTTTTTATTTGATGAATGAAATAAGCATTTTTTAGTAACTACTTTTTAATTAATATTTCATAATTTTCAATTGATAAAAATAGTAATTAACTATATTTTATTACTCGTTATTGATATTTGTTTCTCTTGGTTTAATAACGTATTTTATGTTTGGAGGCTCTAGAATGTTTTCTTTGGTACATTTAATTTAATAGAGTTTTGAATATATTTTATTATTTTTTTGGTTAATTCGTAAATATGTATTTTATTTTTTATACTAATTATGATTATCCATGTCATTTAACTTTACAACAAGTTTTCATAAAAGGTTTTTTTTTTCGTATTTTTGTTGAATTTGATTGTTCGTTCATTTTCATTGTAATCACTAAGTAGAGATATGTAAAAAAATCAAATATTTAGATAAATATGAATTTAATTACTACTTTTATCAAATAAAAACTAAGAAATATTAATTAAAGATTAGTTAGTCTTATTTTCTTCATAAAAAATATAATGGTAGAGTTTATTCAATGGTTTATTGTGGTTCTTTATTGCAAATATAACAACGAAATAAATATA